AATTGGTATTGAAAATCTGCAGCTTTGACAATGAGCAAAAAAGTAGAAAAAAGATTAACAAAATGCCATAAAACTGTAAGTGGTCAAAAGGATCAGGCTAAGAGTATGCTGAGTTAGAGAAGCCAGACACAATGACATACATGAATTCATAAACAGGTAAAAATTAATCCTACTGTGTGCATGCTTGACATTTATGCTAATTCTACCATATGAAATAGAATTTTACTCCACTCCCCCCAAGGATGGCATCATACGTTCTAGTGATTTATCTCTATTCAACCTGTTGATGAGACAGAGAATATCTTACGTATTTATCATTCTGCAGAAATGGGACCATCCCCAACTCTTTCTCAATAAAAATGAAAGTCAAGGAATTCACTGAGTGTCTCTATTCTCTTTTCCTTTTCTGGGCACTCTTCTTATATGGTGGCCATCAACTGGTCCCATTGATTTTTTCACCTTCTGATGTATTTATAAATTCTGTTACTACTTATGAGGTCCTCATAAAGTGCTTAGAAAAATCTCCTAAGTAGGTAATTCTGACTAGGCATTTGCTTTGATGCATTTGCTAAGCTCCTTGATGCTTCTTGTTTTAACTACATTTCACTTTTGGTAAATATTTCCTGTTAATTGTAATGAATTATACTTTTTGACTTCATATAAATGTGTAAAATATATAGCTCTCCTAACTCCTTTGTTCTATTTCGAAAGGGATGAATTTAAAGGCCCCGGGTGTTTTAAAATTCTTACTTTAAACTCCTAAGCTTTCTGCTACTGTCAAAACCGCTAAGTCTCACATCTGAAGTCCACCACTGTGGCTTTGGTCCACCTAACTTCCACTTCTCATACATTCGGTAAGCCTGCACCTAGTGCTCCAATCGCATGTACAAATCTGTCATATGTTAATAACACATACTAAATGAAAATGTTGATATTCTGAAGTAATGAATTAGGAGGATATGGGAGGACAGAAATGTTCCTGTTTTTGTACACTCTACTATAGTGCATGATAAAGGAAAACCACATAAAGTGTATATGCATATTTTTGGGAAAACTGAACATCTCATTCCAAATCTTTTTAAAAACCACTTTATTAAGGTATGATCTACATGTAAAAATATATTGAAATGTATTTAGTGTACAAAATTTGATGAGTTTATGGGTAAGTACACACCCATGAAACTATCACCACCATTAAGGCTGTCCATAAACACCCATCACCTCTCGAAGTTTCCTTTAACTTCCTTTCTTATTATTATTATGTGTGTGTGAGTGTGTGTGAAGAACACGCAACATAATCCAAAATCTTTTTAACTGTTCCTTCTACCTGCAGTAAGATACTGGGTTGGCCAAAAAAAATCTATTTAGTTTTCTCTGTAAAATATGACACGTTTTTCATTTTCACCAATAACTTTATTGATTTGAATATTTTGAGTGTGTCGGCTATCTCCTGCTATTGGCTTCTAGTGGGTAGAGACCAGGGGTGCTGCTAAATATCTTCCAATAAATAAGACAGCCCCACAGCAAAGAATTATTTGGCCAAAATATCAATAGTACCAAGAAACTTTGCAAACCACTTTTGACACATTCAATCAGTCACGGCATCTTCTCCATACATTGCAGAAATCTATTTTTGCATTTCAGTTGTGTTTTTACCTTTCTTGAAATAATAAAGCATAATACACTAAAAATGCTGCTTATTTTCCTCCATCTGCAATATTAAAATGGCTGCACAAAAACTTACCAATTTTGATTTTTTTAAAAAATGCACACTGATATGACAGCTGTCACAATACAATCTAACAAAATTGTTTCGAATGAAGTTAAATACAACTGAGCACTATTAGAGTAATCTCACAGAAAAAACATAAAGGTCTTTTTGGCCAACCCCATACAATGCTTCTCTTCTTCCAACACATTTGTCAGCCAGGGTACTTTTTTCTTTTCTTTTCTTTTAACCCCCACCTGAGGGTATGCTTCCCAATTTTAGAGAGAGGGGAAGGGAGAGAGGAGCGGAGAGAGAGAGAGAGGAAAAACATCGATGCAAGAGACAAACATGGACTGGTTTCCTCTCCTATACCGACCGGGGACGGAAACTGCAACCTAGGCATGTGTCCTGACCGGGAATCAAACTCACGACCTTTTGGTTTACAGGAGGACACTCAAGTGAACTGAGCCACTCTGGCCTGGGCGGCCAAGGTACTTTTCAAGGCCTCAAATTTTACTTCTCTAGGAAGCTCTGAGTCTCTTGTTGACATTCATTTTTCGTAATTATAATCTTACATACCTCAATATATTGCCTTTAACATGGTCTATTACTAGAAGTCACATACACTTAGTTACATACATAAATAATATACACAGTACGTGGCATCTATGGTTTGTTAAGTAGTTACTTATAAGTAGGATCTACATTGATTTATCTTTTATATATTTTTTATCAAGGAGGTTTTTGTGTACGAGGCAGCCATTTAATAACAATTGTTGAATTTTTGTTATTCTTTCTTTTATCTTTTAACTATTGCATAGTCGTTCCTCAATAATTTCTTCCTACTGGCTTTACATACCATGAATCGAATACACCTTAAGATAAATAAGCTACTGCCTAAGGTTCTGAAAGCCTTTTCGTATCTTTGGAGATTTTTTTTTGGTGTGGTAATTATGTTTATTTTAACAGACTTATTTGTTTACATTTCTTTGCCTTTATCAGGCCTGTCTCTTAAGTACAGAGAGGGAAACTATTTCTGGCTGTTCTGTTTTCCAAGGAAACCTTGCAATTTTCTTTTAAGGTCATAGAAGTCTTTTACTTCGATGAGTATGCACTGCACCACCTAAGATTTTAAGTTATAAAAACCATTGTTTTCTCAAAAGTCTGGAAAGAGCTTGCAAGATATAATTAACTGCCTAGAATAAACAATACAACATAAATAGATCTTCCCCTTCGAAAATACCTTACTGTTGGGCCATGTGAAAGAATCTCACTTTATTAGTGACTAGAAAATTCAGCAGTAAGAAGGCAGCTACAGTAAATTAAAATATACAAAAATTTCAAGCCAAAAGCCAGCACAACAGTGACACGTCGGGTTCAAGTAGCATGTCCGCTCCTGTTAGAGACAGAACACAGGTGCCGTTGCTGCTGCTGTCGCCGTGCTCTTCTGGGAGGGTGGGCCCAGGAAACCACTCCGCAGGCGGAGTGTGAGGCCTGGGAAAACTACCTGCAAAGTTAAACTCCCGGAAAACACAAGAGAATTAACTGGAAAAACTACTAAAAATTAAAATAAGAAAACTTAGCAAGCGGCTGTATAGAGAATTGAAAAAAAGTAATACCCTCTCTACATGTAAACTAAGTAGGAAAAGACTTCAATTCCAATTCCAACTATCAAAAAGATAAAGATGCTTTCTAAAAAGTTTAAATAAAGGGAAATATATTTCTCGTTCTTAGACTCAATGATAAGTCAAAAAAAAGTCCATTCTCTCCTTTTGTCAATTTAACCTGATTACAATAAAAATATGAAAAGGATTTTACTGAGAACTAATAATTCTAAATTTTATATAAAGCATAAATGTTTCAGAACAGTGTGGAAAATTCTGAAGATTAGTGGGAACAAACACCACAAGATATTAAAATAAACTCCAAAGCTACTTATGATAAAACAGTTTAGTGCTGTAATATTAATAGAGCAAGTGGTACAGATAAAAACTGGGAAGGAAATGAAAATACAGATGGGTTTACAAACATGAAAACATGTCCCACATCTTACACATGAGAGCAAAATAAACTATAATGACACAATTTTTTCACTTTTCAGTGAAAAGCAGTTACAGATATTGATACGAAATAATCTGTGAGATGCATTCCTAACTTCAAAAAGAAAAAGGAATATACTAAACCAGTTTGAGAAGTATCTCACCATTTATATAAAAACAGAAGGGATGGAAATTTACAATTGCGTAAAAGTCCACAGAATGTCTCTGAAGGATACACAAGAAAATGATAACTGAGACTGTTCTGGGAAGAAAGATACAGGGGAAAAGGGATCTTTTCATTTTTTTGTAAACTTGTACAGTTTCCCCCCCCCCAAATTAAACAAAGTACATGTACTATCTGGCTAAGAAATACAAGAAGAACTTCCACATCACTCATCATTAGGGAAATAGAAGTCAAAACCACTGTGAGATACTGTATCACACCCATTAGCATGGCTGTTATTAAAACAAACAAACAGAAGATGACACGTTTGGCAAGTGGAGGGGCTGTGGAGAAATCAGAAACTCTGCGCACTGCTGGTGGGAATGTGAAACGGTGCAGGTTCAGATGCCATGGAAAATACTGTGTTCGTTCCTCAAAAAGTTAAACTGAGAATCACTATGTGATCTAACAATTCTATTTCTTGGTATACAATAGTTTCCCCTTATGTGCAGGGGATATGTTCCAAGACCCTCAGTGGAAACCTGAAACTGTGGATAGTACTGAACCTTTTATATACTATGTTTTTTTCTATACATACATACCTATGGTAAAGTTAACCTTATAAATTAAGTGCAGTAAGAGATCAGTGGCAATGACTAATAATAAAAGTTATAACAGTATAGTGTAATGAAAGGTGTATGAATGTGGCATTATTAAGTAAAATAAGGGTTACTTGAACGCAAGCACTGCGACACCTGATAGCCGATCTGATAACCGAGATGGCCACTAAGTGCCGGGCAGGGAGAGTAAAGACAGGTAGAGCCACTGGACAAAGGGATGATTTGTGTTTTGGGTGGGACAGAGCAGGACAGTATAAGATTCCACCATTCTACTCAGAATGGCACACAATTTAAAATTTAGGAATTGCTTATTTCTGGACTTTTCTATTTAATATATTTGGACCATGGCTGACTGTGGGTAACTGAAATGACAGAAAGCAAAACCATGTATATGGGGTGGGGGACCACTGTAGATCCAAGAGAACTTGAGCAGGTATTTGTACACCCATGTTCATAACCGCTGTCCTCACAATGGCCAAAAGGTGGAAACAGCCCAGGTAGGTGTCCATCGACAGACAGATGGATAAACAGAAATGTGGTATCCATATACGATGGAGCATTATTCAGCCTTAAAACGGAGATTCTGACACACGCTACGACATGGATGAACCTTGAAGATGCTATGCTCAGTGACGTCTGAGGGGGACGGTGGTGATGGCTGTATAACAATGTGAAAGCACCTAATGTCACTGAGTTTTACATTTAAAAACAGTTAAGATACAATAGTAAATATGTTGTGTGTATTTTACTGCAATTTTGAAAAATGAACCCTACCTTACTGCAAGTAAAGAAATTGAATGTCAATTAAAAATCTTCCCACAAAGAAAAGCGCAGGCCCAGATGCCTTCCCTGATGAATTCTATCAAACATTTGAAGAAGAAATAATATCAATTCTTCATGCACCTTCCAGAATGTATGGGAGGGGGAATGTTTCCCCACTCATGAGAATAATGTTTATCTTATAACAAAGCCAAACAATGACACCTTAAGAAAACTACAGACCAATCTATCTCTTGAATGTATCTGCAAAAATCCTCAACCAAACATTAGCAAACCAAATCCAGCAACATATATAAAGGATTATATATCATGATCAAGTGGAAATTATCCCCAGCATGCAAGATTGATTTAACATTCAAAATTCAATTAATGCAATAAAGGACAAAAACCATACGATCATCTTGATATTCAAAGGAAAAACACTTGATAAAATCCAAGACCCATTCATGATAAAAATGCCTGACAAACTAGGGATGGAAGGAAACATCCTCAACTTGATAAAAAACTGACAGCTCACATCGCATTCAGTAGTGAAAGATTAAATTCTTTCCCCCTAAGATTGGGAAAGGAAAAAGATGAAAAGGACACCTCCTTGCACCGCTTCTTCTCAATATTATACTGGAGGGTCCAGCCAGTGCAATTATGCAAGAAAAAGAAATGAAAACATGAACACACCAGAATAAAAACTATGTGCACACAACAAGAGTAGCTGCAAAGTGTAATAGTCCAAATGTCTATTACCTGGTATGTGGATAAACAAAATGTGGTATATTCATACGGTGGAATATCATTGAGTGATACATGCTATGACGTGGATAAACCTCAAAAACATTATGCTAAGTGAAAGAAGTCAGACACAAAAGACCACATGTTGCATGAGCCAATTTATATGAAATGCCCAGAAAGGTCAAATCTACAGACAGAAAATAGGTTAGTGGTTGCCTGGGCCTGGAGTTAGTAATGAGGACTGACGACCAGTGAGCACAAGGGATCTTTATGGAGTTGTAGAAATATTCTAAAACTGAGCTGTGGTGATTGTTGTGCAACTCTAAATTTTCTAGAAATCATTGCATTGTACCTGCCAAATGCATGAATTCTGTATGTAAATTATACTTCAATAAAGCTGTTTAAAAGTGTAAAAAAAGATAACAGTTATAATAATAATATCCTTTACATTAATACTACTGCTTGTTCACTCATAGTTCCATATGCTGAAAAAAAACTAAGGGAAGGAAGAGTTATCGAGTTAGCACATCCAATTATGTCTTCCTCTATTAGGAAAAAAAAATGCAGAAATACTGTATTTAGGAAAAGAGACCTTTTGCTTAGGCCATAAACCTGAGAAATGGATTATTTACTAATGAAGATATTTTATTATTCACCTCCCTTCATCCCTTTATAACCATAAGTGACTAAAATAAACTGTACCTTAAGGGAAGAAAGGGTGTTTAGTCTTACATTTTCAAAAAAGAATCTTTCTTGAACATCATCTATCTGATTATCTATCCTTGAGAAAGTTAAAATTCATTCACCTGTGCTTTTAGTAAGTTTAAATGTTTTAGACCTTTAATGCATCTCCTTCAGATATACGGTCAATCAGGGACAATTTAAACTTCCTGTTTTTCTCACAGTAAAGTTCCCACCACATAGTCTTTCATCTTCACCACTGAGTGCCTTGGGGATTTCAAGCTGACTCCTTTCTCCTGCAGTCTTTCCTATTCCCCTCTCAGCCATTCTGTTTGCATTCTTGCCTTTTCTCCCAATCACTGCAAACTCTAGCATCTACTTCTTCCTTAGCCTTCTTGCTATGTTAACTCCTAGCTTCATGTCATTGGTCATCCCTTTTCTATGGACTATTGAGGGGTCTCCTCTGCTATTTACACACACTTGGAGCTGCTTCTCCAAATGCTTGATAACATAATGTTGTCATCTTAATTACTACATCCATGGAGCAGGATTTTCAAAACAACACCATAGACTTATTTTTTAAAAAACTTTTTTTTTTTAAATCTGAAGAAATTTGGTCCCTTTTTTGTCAGTTTTACTAAATATGGCTGAGGTCTGAGACAAAAGGGGGTGAGGAGTGATGAAAGAAAAAAGTTACATTAGTAATAAACTAGGAAGAGTAAACAAACAGCACTGTTGGCAAGGATGGGAAAGTGTTATCTCATACATTACTGATACAATGTAAACTAGTGGGCAAGTTGGCCATAACTGTTTACATTTTAAGAAGGCATAGGCTTGGATACAGCTAAATACATTTTTAAAAAAGATTTTATTTATTTATTTGTTAGAGAGAGGGGAAGGAAGGGAGAAAGAGAGGGAGAGAAGCATTAGTGTGTGGTTGCCTCTTGTGCGCCCCCCTACGGGGGACCTGGCCCCCAATCCAGGCCATGTGCCCTGACTGGGAATCGAACTGGCGACCCTTTGATTTGCAGGTCTGCACTCAGTCCACTGAGCTACACCAGCCAGGTAAATACATTTTTGACCACTGCATTAAAAAAATACTGAGCCAGTGCCCAATGGTATCTCCACATTAGGAAGTTTACTGTAATATTGTCTGAACTGCACCGTAAGCCCACTAGACTTTAGTTTCATAAAGGCGGAGAGAGTAAATATGTTTTGCTTATTGCAATATATCTGGTGCCTTGAGCAATACTTAGCACAGAGGCAGCCAATGTTCAGGAAGATTTGTTGAATGAATAAATGGATGATGGAGATTTGAGGGGCAATTTAAGCCCGGACTTCTCTTGGTATTTAGCAAGCCAAGACTGAATTTTCCATTCAGAATGCTAGGCTTTACTGAGTTCCATGGCTATGCTGTACTCTTGGGTCTCGTCCATTGAGTATACTTTGCTGATCATCAGAGCGAATGGCAGAAGGATTTGAGTACTCAGAGCAAACTAGTCACAAAACAGATGTGCTTCTACAGTCATAAGCAACAGTGATGCTGTCATGCTTATTTGGTATTTTACGCATACACACATATACATATAATTTTCGTCAACTCAACTATTATCTAAAAAATCTATCATCAGTATATATTTTTTGCCCTTAATAGATACAAAAAATTTAATCTTCAGGGCTTTGAAATGCCCAAGGCTAAATTTTCCATTTTTATCACAGAAGACTATTGAACAAAGAAGGTGACTTGGCTTTATGTCACACACAGCTTTTTAAGAGTTTGAGGAAATCATCTGTAAGGAGAAAAAAGCCTATCATACTGAGGTCATGGTGAAACATGAACATTGTAAAGCTTGAAATGATATTACATCATAAGGACACACGAGGGCACTCTCATCAACCAGCAAAGAGAAACAGAAAAGAGTGCTATCAGGTTGATATTTTAACAACTGTACTGCAATAGGTGAATTAAGCACTGGTATAACTGTGAATGTTTGTAATTTACAGCAAGAGATTTTCTGTTCTTCATCCAAATTTTGAGAAGCCAAAAGGATTCTGCAGTTCTGTAAACTGGAGAAAGAATCCATCACTCTCAGATCCAAGGTGAAGATTAACCACACCCCTTTCTAATGATTTGTTAAATGGACCTTGGGGCAGGATTTGCCCCTTTGAAGCAAAGATCTAGACAAGCTACAATTCCACTTGGTGTTTTACTCCACTAGGAGCAGTCCATGAATCCATTTCTTCACTTCATCTCTTTTCCTAGGAGAAATGGCGAGTTAAGAGTTTAAGCCTTCTCCAAAGCCAGTAGTAATGAGACAGCATTTTGCACAAAGGTGCGTAGGCCACTAAAGAATATACCTCATGACTTTCTTGAGTTTTTAAATTTGCAACTACAACTACAGCATATAATTCCCACCATCAAATTTAAAAAAGTAGAGCATACCGAGCAATTTAGATGACCTTTCAGGCCATTGACAAGAGAGCGAGAACAACTGCAGAGCCATGGCTCCTGAGGCCGGCAGGGCCATTCACTGGGGATTATCACTAATCGTAAAGTCACATTCGAATTTGTGCTTCGGCAAAATGACAAATAACTCCGTGTCATCAATCTTTGCGGTCAAATTTAATAGTTAAAATGGAAAGTATTAAATGTTAAGGGTATACTGTGCTTGCATCTTTGTTTGACTGAATAAACTAGACGATTCTCTCCCTCTCTGGATCTATGGGAAGTATGACACACACTGCATTCCCGAACTGCTTCTTATTATTTTACTCACTTTAATCTTCATCTATTTGAATGGCAAATTCCTGGTCATGATGTTTCAAAGTCAATTTCTGCCGATATATTCAGCCTTTTTTTTTGTTAAGTTCCCTGGTGAACTGTAGTTCCTATGCTTAGCTGAATTGTCCATCAGGGTGCACTCAGTTAGGCTCAATCTATACTAAAACAGAACATGCTCTAAAATGTGCTAATTTAGAGGATGCATTTTTAATATTCCTGTTCTTTGAATGTACCAATGAATTTCTTCAGTTAAACAGGGTAGCCTGAATACTGCATAATATTATAGACAGTCATTAAAACCCTTTCAGTTGGTATCTCTCTAAGAAGGAGATACCCAAGAATTACATTATAATGACATTCATTGTCTTCCTTTGGATGAGTTAAAAACCACTAGGAGAATGATGTGTAAATAAGACAAATAAATATGGTATCAGAGGCTAACTTGGGTAGTATAAGAACTAATTTGGGCACCCAACTGGTATGATCTGATATGGAGCACTTTATATTACCAAGAAAGTGTGCAAACTTTAATTTTTTACCACTAATTTTTTTAAAGATCTTAATTTAACTGAATTCCCATTTAAAGCTAATTTAAAAAATAGCCCAGAATTAGCAGGTGAGAGGGAAGAGGGGAGTGGTGGGGCGGTGGCGGGGGCGGGGGGTGGATGGGACTCATTCTGTTTACAACATGAAGCTTCTCCTACTGCCTCCTCTCCAGAGGTTCCCAGGTGCCAGACCGAAAGGTTTTTTCCTACATTGACCCTCCAGTTATTTTTACTTCCCCTTGACCCATATGTTTTAACAGGATTTTAACAAACTATATCTATTAGGAAAAATAAAAGCTCCAAATAAACTGTCTCTCAGTATGCACTCTGGCTTCCTTTCTTTAAGAGAGAACCTAGCACGTGCCAGGCACTGTGCAAGGCAAGGTGGGGGAGCCCTTGCCCTCCCCAAGCAACAGACTCCTGACAAGGGATCCTGGGTTCAGATTTCAGCTCTAGCAGTTTTCTCCTCTGTGTAACTTCGAGCCTCTTCACCTCCCTGAGGCTCAGATTTTTTTATATGTAAAGTGGGAATATTATCACCTAGATCAAATGATTAAATGGGGCACTAAAGAGCAAGTACCTCACACAGTGTCTGGTATACAGTAATTGTTCCATAAAGGATAGCACTTACTCTTTTCTACTCCAATGTTAGAGTTTATTGTAATGTTTTTACTTTACCCCTTAATCTTTTCTCAATAATAAGCCTTCAGAGATTATTTAACTACTATTTAGTGGTGACACACAGTGTCGGGCCTTGGGAAAACACAAACTCTACAAGAGGAGGGCAGAAATAAAACCAATAATCAAAAATGCTACAAAAGGAAGTGTGCCATGGAAGCATATAAGAAGGGTACCTAATATGAGGAACCCTTAAAGAAGTGCTATTATTTAACCAGAGACCTTAAATGTATGAAGAAATCAGGCAGGCAGAAAAGTGTTGTAGGCAACGGAACATATGTAAACTCCCAGAGGCAAAAGAGAGCGGGAAACGTCAAGGAACTGGAAGATATGCAATATAATTGGAATAAGGAGAGCAAGGGAGATGAGGGCTAGACATGAACCTAGAGAGGTAGGCAGGACCAAGTAAGTCAAGTGAAAAAATTATAAAACTTTATCCTAAGGGCAAAGGCTTTTGTTACTCTGCAAATTTAAAACAATTTCTAGGAGGCAGAGTAGAAAATGGATTGGAGAAGGATAAGACTGAATGTAGGAAGACCAGGTAGAAGGTCTTTGGAATTCCAAATGGCAAGTGAAAAGAACTCCTAGAAAGCCCTGCTAATACTAGAAAGTATTAGCGGGACTGGAAAGAAAACGACCTGATCAAGAACAGGAGTAGACTGAAACAGATGTGGTCATAGACTGTGCGTGGGAAGGCTATTTTAGCAAGTCATACTCTCAAAAAACAAGAATGTGCTCAATATAATGTATCTCTGTGTTTCATGAGACAAATGTAAACCATGGCTTACTGCACATTCCTTACTACAAATTCCATAATTTTGTGTGACGCAGTACACAACATTAAACATTTTAGACCATGGGAGGATTTATTCCGACTCTATGGGAGGCATGTCACAAAAAAGGTCTAATTTACTTCTTTTGTGAGAAGTAAAGCAAAAAACATTGAGAGTCAATGTTTTTGAAACCACTTTGCTATGTTGATAGGAATTCTGCAAAACAGATAATCTAAACTAACAAAGGAGTTTTAACCCTTCCTCCGAGGCATCTTTTGGTTCCTAAAGGAAAAAAAAAAAAGTTTCCACTTTTTTCCCTTCCATGTTTTCACGTCTCTAAATAAATTAAGTAGGAGGATATCAGGCAAACCAAAGTAAAGGGGTGGGCAAAAGTAGGTTTACAGTTGTTTACTGGGTAAGGAAAAAAAAAAAAGCCATGCAGGTTATGATTATTACTAAAAAATACAAAATACAAGAATACATTCACAACCGTAAACCTATACATTTGCCTACTCCTGTATAAGTTAATGTAAACCATGGCTGATAACCTCAGCAAAAGAGTTTTTATGGAAAAACTGTTTCACACTTGCATGCCTTCTCACCAAGCACACCAAATGTAATTTATCTTGTGTTGAAGACATGGTCTGTGGTCCAATCATTTAGGCACAAGGCCTTTAGCTCCTAAGCTGAACTCTCTTCATGGAAGGTCCTAGCCTTCTCTTCCTTATAAGTTCTAGAGTCACATTCCTAGGAAGCTGCCTCTCAAATCATCTCAACTCTCCAAGCTCTAAACATGCCTCTGTGTTATCATGAATGCAGTGAATTGTAATTGTGGCTTACTTTTCTACCTTCATTATATTGCATGCTTCTTTAGGGCTAGGACAGTGACTTTCAATTCTGCATTCTTTAAGTGTCTAGCACACTGGCCCAGAAGCAAATCGATGTTCTCAAGGTTTACTAATCTGTGCCCTCTCCCTTACATAAACAACTTTAAATGGGGACAGTTTTGGAGTTCAGTCTACTTTTAATACTTTTTCTGACTTCTCAGAAAACAGCTGACACTTTGCTGAGTAAGTATATAGCTGTGCAATGATAATTACCAAAGAGGAGGTGATGAGGGGGATGTGTGTGTTTTGGAAAAGCATTTCAAAAATTATATAAATGGAAAAAGAAAACAAATCTTTTGTTTCTGTATAAAAATCACAGAAAGTAAAAGCTTGACAATATTTGGCTACAGAGACACGATTTTAAAAGGTACCGCATCCCACACATACTTTTCTACTATCCTAATTATGTTGTTAACTAATTCCAGACAGTTCGAATAAACTAGTTAGGTCTGTGTGCCCAATGATAGCAGAGTAGGTCAAAATGAAGATCTGAGAAGCAGTCCTATAAGCCAGGTGTTTTGAGTTTTGTGATTCAAAGACTCAAGGTATACTGGCATGTTCCATCCAACCTTGGTTCATGAAATCCCTACAGCCCTAGACTGTAATGTCTTTTTTTTTTTAAAAATTTGATGATCTAATTGGCTTTATGAAGCGATTCATGAAATCAGGCAGCATTCATTCCATCTAGCAACTAAAAGGGCGCTGCCAACTGCAATGTCTTAAAAACTCTCAACCCACCCATATCCTATAGAGGGTTTAAGCCTCAAATCCTCCAAGAACACACCCTGACCTCTCCCTTCTCTGAATTCCAAGTGCAATTAGGAGTCTACAACAGAAAATTTAACATGTTCAATATCTTCTAACCTCTGCTCATAAGTAACTAAAGACTTCTCAAAGAGGGTAGGAAAAAACGTTAATCAAAAGCCAACTGCGCGTAAAGAAGTTAACCTATTATAACACGTGTCAGCTGAGAAACAAGTCAAACCTAGTTCATAAAGCACAACCTTAGTTCGTTGACAAAGAAATGTTACAGTCAACCCTCACCTAACCAAAGGGACTCATACCAAAAGGACTGAGAAGCTCTCCTGGCAGTTATGTGTGGGGTGGGGTAGGGTGGTGTGATTCTAACCCCTTCAACAACAAACAGCAGCTTCCCTTGGTCCAACCCAATTTCTAGCTTCCTAATTGCCACCCCTTTAGAGACGGTTCCCTTCGTAAGATGGAAACGACTAAGTCCAAAGGAAATGGCATAACCATTGCCCTCTAACTTAGGAACAGAGACTCACCAGTTTCATATTCGACTTTTGATTCAACACCAGACACTGGAGTCCTCCAACCCAGAAAGTGTCTTCCGGTTCAAGCTCCGCCGCTCACCCGAGGAGAGCATCGCGGGACATGCAGTCTTTCTTCCCAGCGCCCCCTTTCCGGGGCATCATGGGAAATGTAGTCGTCTCTCCATACATCATGGGAACTGTAGTTATTTTTCCTTTTCCTCCCTTTTCTCTCTAAACACCTCCTTCCGTTATCTCAAATTCTTCCCCGCCGCCAGTTCATCCTCCCTCTCCACCCCAGCATGATATCATGTCCCCAGCCTGGGCCTGGTACCCACGGTATTCTGGGATGTGTAGTCCCCACAGCTGTGGCGCTCCTTTCCCCTCCTCCCTGTGGGAAGGCTAACGGGCGCGAGACTGCCTGGGAATTGTAGTTGTCTGGGGTCTCTGGACGCAGAGCCTCGCGCTTTTACTCTAGGGAGGCAGAAACTACAACTCCCAGGGCCGCCCGGCTGCAGCAGGTGGGAGTGGGGCTGTTGATATCAATATGGCGGTTGTCAGCCAGACAAAGACAGTCAGTCTGATGTGATTGAGACAAGGGAGGTTTTCAGGGGGAGACTGGGAGACAGGGGCCTCCCCTCCCCCTTCTCCTCTTCCTGCGCGGACCTCAACCCCTCCCCAGGCCCCTCCCGACTGGCGCCCCACGCGGAAGACACCCCTCCCCCTCCCGCTTTCCCCTCCTCCCTATCTCAGCCCTTCGTACTGGGACGTTGGGGAGGGGGCTGTGCCGCGCGGAGAGAACTCAGCAACGATTCCGAGGTGAGTCGAGCGTTTTTCAAGCCGCACCACCTCAAGTCTCTTTCCCCACTTCTTTCTCTTCACTTTCTTTCTTTCTTTTTCCTTTTCCCTTTTTTGCGGGGTTTTGGGGAGAAAGTGAGTGGGCTGGGGATGGGTCTCTTAAACGGCCCGATTGAAAGGAGAGAGGAAGTAGGGGGCTTCCGAGTGGGTGACCGGGACGCAGGGTACGGGGTGGGGCAGTTTGTGGGGGGCGGTAATTGAAAGGCGTCGGCTGCTGCCCAACTCTTCTGGTCTCCTCCACTATGGGCGCAACGTTTGAATCCTGGAGGTGGGGTCTCCTGTCCGGAGTTTGGGAAACTGTAAGGTGAATTGGAGGTGTGTGGGGTTTTTTTGGTGTGTAACTGTGTTTTAAACTGTGTGACGTGTACTCTGTAACACGTTAGTCTTGAATACATGTCTAGCGATAGGAAGTTCGATAGCAGGAGACATAGCTTTGAACTGGGCCTGGGCAGGGGAGCGTGTGTGAGGTCCGAGACCTGGACCTCTGGGCTGGCGCCGTGGTGCGTGCGGGGCAGCTGGCGTTAGCAACTCGTCTGTGTCCCATTGCCCGATCTCACTCGTCCTCCCGGCCTCCGCCCCCTCCCCCGACACATCTCCACCCCGAAACTCCGGGCAGAACTGGAGGGATGGAGAAGGATTTTTGCATCCTTAAGTCGGTAGATAAGGTGGGAAAGGAACAGTGTTCTTAATATTTTATTCCGGAACTGTGTTTTGGTTACACTATTGGGGCTACTTTGAAAGGAGTCCTCCACCCACCCTCACCCCGAAACAGCAGGTAGGGGTGTCTCATCGTCTTCGTGTTAAATACATTACACACTACTTAAGATTCGGGGACCTGGCGTCGGGTTCGGGACTGCTGTCATGTGTATGCATCTCTATCTACTAACGACACAGAATGACTGTTATGTATCTTGAGATAGGGCGACTTATTTGCGTGGTAGGAAAAACTGTTGGAAATTATTTGGAGGCAGGGGGAGTAGCTGAAAGGCGCTGTTTGTGTTTTTCTTCTACTCCACCCTGTTCTGCCTTGCATTTGTCTGAAAGCTGGTACGGAAGAGTGAGGACGCATTGGGTGAGTGAAGGGGAGAATGCAGTTGGCATTTAAGATACTATGTAAAGTTGATGGTATAAAGTGGTTGCGTTATGAATTTATCCTGAAGCTTTAAAAACCCTCGTGTTTCATATAGAGTGGAATGATGTGACTAGTTCATTTCTCTGGGATCCTGCAGGTATACAGACCTCTGCCTTGCCTGCCTGCCTGCCTGCCCGCCTCGCTGCCTTGCCTGCCTTCCTTCCATTCTTTCCTTCCTTCCTCTCTTTCTTGGTATGGTACATTTCTCTTCCTGGATAGACATAATGCCTCCTGTGCCCCTGTGTGTGTTTGTTTTTTTTTGTTTGTGCTAATACAGTTGTGCTTTTTGTAGTTTCGTGTGTAAAATACATCTTTAGATGAAAAGGACCTGCATTTGTTTTTATTTTGCATTTAGCCACAGGTAATTGTTACATCAAGTTTGAGGTGCTTTGCATTAAACTTATTTTAAAACTGTACAACTGAGTTGTTAGATCAGTTAAATTATATGTATAAGTTTGGAAAATTTGAATTCTGATCTTTTTTCAAGTTTCAATTGGAGTTTTAAAGGGAAGGGGATTGCAACATCTTGAATCTCACAGTCTCTAATAACATCACACCAGGGGAATTTAAGATCATATATTTTGTACTTCCTTCAGTTTGAAATGTAAGTTTAGCAATAACTCTTTCCATGCAACAGATTTTTAGTGTAACAGACTTTTAAATAACTAAAGGAATAGGCATAGTTTCTCTTTTGGCTATTGAGAATTTAGTGTATTTACATATTTGGCTCCAAACTTATCAATTCTTGAACCTATCAGTAAAGGACCTTAGATTTCATAAAACTGAAAGTAACATAGCTACAGTATATAATTTTATGGTATGTTTTATAATCTATTTGACATTTCTGCAGTTGGTCATTCACACAGATAAGCTGACTATACATGAGGTAGCATATATATTTAGATTGACCTGAATAGAAACAAAATTGATGTTTTCTAAATCTCCAATTTAGAATATAGAATGTGTTGATACAAAGCTAAGCCTTTAGTTTGTTATAGACTAGGATTTCCAGGATATTTTTCTTTTAATCTTCTATCTTAATCTGAAACATTACTTTGTAAAAACTGGAGAAAATTCCTAAATTACTCTATAAGAGTATTTTTTTTTGGCTGAAAGATGTTCTTTTATAGAGTATTAAAATGTTCAATGATTATTTTAGAAATAAAAACTAAAATGTTTGTTAAGAGTTGGAATAATGTAAGAGTATTTGCTCTTCGCCCACCCTTACTTCAGATTTTTTTTTTTTGTTGTTTATTTTCTTCTATGGAAATGCAAAGTTACTGGGAAAAGCTTTCATTGAACTTTCTCTGACTAGTAGCCTGGTTAAAATCATTGCAGAGTAAACCAGATATATTTCTTGCATTCATGGGGATGATTCTGTTGCATTTTAAGCACTGAGCATTAAAATGATGTAAAGCCTTTACTGCAGGTTAAAGCATAAAATATTCTCAGCATGTGGAAGTCATATGGTTTACGAAAAAAGTAGAAAATCAGGGCATTGGTGCCTGTCCAGTTTAAGATTTCATCCTGTAACTGTGAAAGACACATTTATTTTAATATGAATGCTTCTAAAAATGTCGCCTGTATTATGGGAATTGAAAAGCCAAACTGTTTTAAAATAATCTGTTGCTAGTTTAGTGTACTGTTTCGTGAATACTGTGGCTGGAAACTGCATCAAGGAGTCTTTAGGGCTCATCTTTATGTTGAACGTCTAGAGAGGCTTCATTTCACCTTTGTACTAACAGATTTCAGTCTTAGCACAAATCTTTGGATGAAGCATCACTAATATAAATTTAATAGCACAGTATTGGTAAGTTACAAAATACATTGTAACATCTCTCCTTGGTTCATCATTTTTAAAAAATAGAAGTAGCTAATTTATGGCAACTTCGGTGGCAAGTATTAATTGGAATGGCATTACTTCTTTCAGTAGATATTGAACACATTGGGACTATTTATGCCTAATTCCTTCATTTTGGGTCTTTTATTACATTTAGTCCATCCCACTTTTAATGTTTCCTGTAAAACCATGTTTGCTTTTTCTATTCATTTCATTGCAGCTCTTGCTTCTATTATTTTTATATGCAGATCTTTAAACTTGAATAATTTCTTTTGGGAATTAGAAATTTATCCTACGATGTCATTTTTCATAAATGTAAGTGTACCACTCAACTTTTTAAAAACGTGAACATTTAAAGATAAGCTTAAAGATGCTCAGTAAAAATGTGTTGGCTTTGTTTGTTTTGTGAACCTGCTAGTTAATTTAATAGCTCCCTTGGCTATTTGGCTAGATTTTTCTTATAACCACTGTCTTTTATTTCTCAATTTAGTATAACTTTAGTTTCTAAATCAGTTGTTATGAGTGGAAATCCCAGCTTGTCTAGAGTTATATATGTACATTCACATATGCACTCGCACATACAAAACACCTTTAAGTTTGCTTACATATGAAATTGGTATATACCTGTCAGACACGCAAACCATAAAAAAAGGAATCTGAACCACAAATAACAGGAGACTAAAGAGTGACTCAGACTAGAAACTAGAGCGTAACCACTACCACATGCTGTCCACACTGTAGAAGCTATATAGATTTTCAGTGTCATTGTAAACTATTACTTTAACAGGTTCTGCCAAAATCTAGTTCTCTCAAAATGGAAGCTACTGGTATTGAAATTTTTCTCAAAATAATGTTAAGTAATGTGACTTAGATTCCTGGGCACAGCAATCCCCCCATTTGACCCTTACGGACTTAGGGCTCAGCATAAGTACAGCGTAAAAGATTTTTTCTGAGTGGTTATTTGACATAAAACTTTTAGTTAAGAGTCTATTTAAACATAATCCAGTGCTTTAGATAACTTGTTTTTCTTGATCATAGATGAAACAAGTTGGAAATTTACTATATCATTGTCTTGGATACCTTCCAAGAGCATTTAGTTACTGGAAGTTCCTGGCATTCACATAATTTTTTTTATCCTTACACTGGTAATAAGGTTGAAGTTACAGTAAGTTTTTCCAATGATTATTAGAACATTAATGCAGTATTTTACAGATCTTTGATTTAGGCTATAAGGACAGTTTTTTTGTTTTTGTTTTTTAAATTTACAAACAGAAGGAGAAAAAAGAACAATAGTTGTTTTAGCTTTGGAGTTATTTTACTTTTTTTGAATCCTAAAATAGATGGTCACAGACCTCTCCTTGTAAGTGATCAAATTAGAATCAAATCAATTCAGAGGGCATTTAGATTTTTTTTTTCTTACACTTAAAGTGCTGATAGTGATCAGAATGTTTACTCAGTTCTTCAGAATATATTCTCTGTAGCTTCCCTGTCCATCTTTTTTTTTTTTTTTTAATCCTCATCTGAAGGCATGCTTATTGATTTTAGAGAGAGGGAGAGAAACATTGATGTGAGATAGAGACGTCAGTTGGTTGCCTTTTAATACATGCCCAACCGAGGACCCAACCCAGAACCTAGGCATATGCCCTGACCTGGAATTGAGCCTTCGGCCTTCCAGTTTATGGGACAGTGCTCCAACCACCTGAGCCACACTGGCCAGGGCACTTCTCTGTCCATCTTATGTTCAGTGGTTTATCAGTGGTCTGCATATAGTTTATCAAAAACGTTTAATAGCTCTCTTTACTGTATGCACATTAAACAGTTAGTATGGAATTGCCAAGCAGAAGTAGATTTAATATATATAATCACTTTTTTCAAAGAAGGGAAATCAAATGCTGAGGCCATAGCTGAAATGAGGATGACCTAAGACTGAACCTATCAGCTTTAATATTTTGATAAAGTAATCATATGATTAAAATATGAAGCTATTGG